ACAGTCACTCCTTTTCCGTCGCCCCCACCCCACCCCCCACTGACGAAGAAGATTCCACCCCGATCAGGTCTATCTCCAGCTAGAGTTCCTTCCTAAAAGCAGTCCACCACTTGAAAAACTCCATACCACGTTAATTAACCTACAGTCTCGCCTATCACTATTGCCTCCCCACCATCATACCAAGTGTCTTTGTATTATCTTCATGCATGTTAATCTGGCACTGTTAAAGGATTGGCGCCTTGCTAGTATAAATGGGGTTTCTCGGGGTACTCCCGTCCCCCCCCCCCCCATCAAATTATACAGCATAGGATTTTTAGATCCTCGCCGTCCTTCAGGACCATAAGTCCGAGATCGACCGTTTATTTGAGTTTCGAGTCCCCATCCCTGTAAAACCAATCCAACCACTTAAACTATAAATTCACAACCAAGATCCTGCCTTAACCTCGAGTGGGGCGAAGGGGAACAGCTGTTTCCAAGCATCCCCGGTTGTATTCCGAGGTTTTCCTACCAGTATTTAGTTCGTGCGTTAACCGTCCCAAATTATGAAGAAATAGATTAGAGGGAAGGCAACTAGTCAACGTCACCTACAGCTAACTCTTGTCAGACCGAACAGTGGAACTTGACTGTCACTTTTATAAAGTACTCACGGCCTGTAAGTATAGAAAGTTTTGTTTTTTGCGGTAACGAGACCAGAACCATGGGCCACGCTCTATTCTTTTTGAGGCAGTATAATACTAATTGTATAATATCTATTGAACTTATTTCTAAACACTGAGTTATTTTATGTACTCAACGAGTTTCCTATGCACCTGACAGTTTTTTTTTTGTAATTAAGCACAAAGCTACACACAATGAGCTATATGTGCTCTGCCCACCACGGGTATCGAAACCCGGTTTCTAGCGTTTTAAGTCCGCAGATATACCGCTGGGGGGGGGGGCGCACCTGACATTGACAAATTTAGGTGTAATTTGTTTTAATACAGCTTTCCATTTGTTTTATGTTGAAACATGTGGAAAGGTATCATAGAAGAAAAAAATTACTATACGTATATTGTGTAATGTTTGTTTGTTATGGATGTCGCGCAAAGCTACACGAGGGCTATCTGCGCTAGCCGTCCCTAGTTTAGCAGTGTAAGACTAGAGGGAATGCAGCTAGTCATCACCACCCACCGCCAACTCTTGGGCTACTCTTTTACTAACGAAGAATGGGATTGACCGCAACATTATAACGCCCCCATGGCTGAAAGGGCGAGCATGTTTGGTGTGATGGAGATTCGAACCCGCGACCCACAGATTGCGAGTCGAGCACCTTATCCACCTGGCCATGCCGGGCCTATATTGTATAATAAGACTAAAGGCGAGGATACCCAGCTGATGAAACAACGAATTCTAATATTTATCAGTACGAATGCAAGAACAGTATATTTAACTCAAATAAACTCGTAACCGGGATGGTTTTTTTATATTTTTGATATAAGTATATAGCTTACTTTTATGGGATGTTACATTAATTAAGCGTATAAAAGTATTACATTCAGGCGTTTTTGATAATAAACAATTTTGTACAAAAAACACTTAATAAATTATTAGAAAATGCGACAGACAGCAGTTGCTCTGCCAAAGTTTATATCACAACATTTGCGATGAGACTAGTTTACTACTGACTGAAACACAAGTTCTCTCCCCACCCCTCTACCTGTATGGAGTCCAGTCAGTGCGCAATCCAGATAGCGCAACGCCGTCCCTAATTTAGAGCCAGTGACCACAGGGAGGCAACCGGTAGAAACAAACACTTCACATTTTACTTTCTTATTAAGCTGTTATTTTGTACCTTTATTTTTTAACACTATGTGCCTAATATAAATAATATGATTTTAATACTATTACTACACGCCTGAGGAGTTTGTCCCCGACCTTGGAACAGGCTTTCCTTCTTCCAGTAATCTCTTGAAAGTTCTTCTGGTAATGATGACCAATTTAATTTAAGTAGCTTCTATCCTTACCACTTTTTAAACGACAGGGAGTTTACCTTGTGAAAAGCATCGCCTCTTTTAATTCACATGCTATGTTATATATTATATCAGAGCAGTAGCCAATCATTTTTACGCCCTGGGCAAATTTCACGAACTGCGCCCCTCCCCCCTTTTTTATTCGTTTAAAAAATACTGTGAACTGATTCAACTGTTTGGCTATAAACTTCTTCGCTACTCCAATACAGACGTAAAGTAAAATAATACATTCAGTTATAACAGATAATGTAGTTTTTCTTGGATTAGGAGGTGGAGAGGAAGAAAAAAGAGAGATGGGGAAAAACAATACATTTCAGAGGAAATGGAAGAGTTATTTCATGGGAGGTGATGAGATAGAAAAGGGACTAGGGGAAGGGGTAAATAGGAGAAAAGATAGCAGAGAGGAAAGAAGTGGAAAGATGAAAGATGGCAGAAGTAGGGGAAGAAAAGAAATAGGATAATTGGTGGTGGGAAGATATGAAAAATGGTGGAAGGGAGAAAGAGTAAAGAGAAGGGGTATGAGGGGAAGTGGGAGGAGTCTCTCCTAGTAACTTCCTTATTTTTGATCAATTTCCACTATATTATGTAGCCTAATTACACTTCTTTGAAAAGATATGATGAAAACTGTGAAAAAAAAAAAGATGGTGAAAAAATGAAGAGTTTCTCTCTCTTTCCGTTAGGTGGAACATTGTTTTGTGGGCAACATTTTACTCTGCTCCCCTACTAGAAGCACATACACACAAAAAAAAAACTTGCAAAACACGACACAAATTAAGTCAAAACACACACAAAAAAACACAGCTTTACTTATAACAAACCCTATTTGTGAAGAAACTTAAAATTTCACTTTTCAAGCTTTAGCAGATGAAAAATTATCAATTAAATCATTATAATCGAGGGTGTTTGTAATTTCTTATTCAATGGAGTAAACAGTCAATCCGGTTAAGTGCTTATTTTAAAGATAATTAGTAGAACATAAATGAATTACGAACAAATCAATGTCCTGTATTTAATTACAATAAATCTCAGTTTTTACTTTACTTTATAGCAATAACAGATACAGTAAAAACCCGATTACCCTGTCGAGCATGCTTCATGTAATGTTTGGTAGCCAGCAGAATTTTAGAACGTCCCGGAATATTGTCTATGCTATTTCTCGAGCCTAATTTTTCATTCTCTTAAAAAACATATAGATATTACGAAAGAAGCATGTAGCTAAATGAGATGGTAAATACTACAACAACAGAAAATATAAAAATAAGTATGATACATGTTATAATTTAAGAACGAGACAACGTAGTTGAAGAATAATAAGTGAAAGCTGGAACATAAGACCATAACATACTAAATAGAGCAAGTTATCTTGCTAAATTCGGATCATAAGTTCAAATGGTAAGTTTTCTATTTGCCTTACTCTGCATAGTTCTGCATAAATTATTGAATAACAAGCTTAGCGTTCGGATTATGCCCCCCTCCCGCCGAACCCTAGCTACGGGTCTGGTTCTAATAATATTACGAGATCTACGTTTTGTCGTTGTTGCTTTTTTAGCGCAATTACCTAAGGGGCTATCTGCACTCTGTCCACCGGATTTTAGCATTTTAAGTACACAAACTTATATATTAAAAATAAATGGTAAGTTTATTATCAAAGTAATTATCGTTCAGGAATGAAAAAATATCAAACGTGGAAATATGTATCTGCACTACTAGGCCTAATGTTAGCACTTCAGGCCTAATTTTATCTACAATACAAATAAGCCTGACAATCAAAGTCTTATATTCGAACTAATCTTTGTAAAAATATTGTGATTACCTTGGTTGCTATTAAGTCCAATTCTACACAGTGCTGTGCCAACCACGAGTATCGAAAGCTGGTTTTTGCGTTATAGGCCTTCATTCCTTCCAAGTCCACTGAGCCACGGAGGACTTGTGATAACCTACTCCAGATTTTAATGGTAAATAAATAATATACCTATCTGTATGCATTGTTGTGAATTTGGTAATTATATAATAGATAAATACATAAAGTAATTTGTATCTTAATATTTTCTTTCTTTGGTATTTACATCGTTTTTTGTTGTTGTTTTTTTCACGTAAAATATTTAATTATTAATAATTACCATACTGTTGCGTCAGCGAGGTCACGTGACTAGTGTCACGCCACCTGCTTTCTACAACTATCCCGTTTCTTCGGGAGTGCTCTAGTATTTACTAGATTGGGGGGTGGTTTGGTATATATAAGATGGTTAAAACGTGACGGGAGGACAGTATGTGTGTAGACAGTAAGTAATTGATCTGCAGTCAGAGAGTATTATTGAAGTTGAGCACGTTCGTTGTTATAGAGTTTGTTTTAGCGCGATTGCTGAAATTAAATGTATCGTAAAGTTATATTCGGAAAAATAAACCAGTTTTATTAAGTAAGGACTTGTGTCGCTAAAGTTTCGTCGGAACTAATTTACGGGAAATCAATTAACAAACGGAGACGTAACAATACTTACTTTTTCAAAAACATACCCATAATGCAACGATTTTTATATGCTAAGCCTATTCTTCATAAGTTTACTTCCAGGCTTTAGGACTAGATAGCATTTAAAATTAAAGGAATATGAGCGTAAAATGTCTGAATTGTGGAATATGCCCAATTTGAATTTCAAAATACTCGTAATGTAAAACTTATTATTCTGAGGTTAATAGCAGCAAGCTACAACCGGCAGTTTAAAGTTTGTAGTTATTTTCTTCCATAACATCCTACGGAGTCTAACTCAGTAACATTCCTCAAGCCTATTCCGAAATGGAACTCTGAATTATGGGATGGTGTCGTCACTGTAGTGCATTATCAGCGTAGTAAAAATGGAAATGAAATATACTACTCACCTTTAAATATTAAATTATCAAAACTGTTTCAAATAGTACTATTATTAAACATTAAAAAAAAACAATATGTTTTCTCTTTTAATTTCTCAAGTTTGTCATTATCAAATTCCAAGTTCAAGACGGTCAATGGAGCTCTTTAGAAATTAGCGTAATTTATTAGTACAAATTTTATGTATAAATACGTAAACGTCAAATCAATCGAAGACTATCTCATAAGTTGCTCGTTCCATCACTTTCATAAAAAGCTATATAAAAACGACTCACTAACCGCAATAGATTGCTATATTATGCATGATGATGTCAGCCCTAAATATTTCTCCCCACTGAATGTTTATTATAAGACAAAAGACCACCTATGCTAGACATTAACATGTCGCTTAGAATTATGTCGAGTGAAAAGGTGACTTTTTTGATATGGAATTGCTTACGAGTGTATACGACCAAATGAAGAGAAATATGGAACTGTTTGCAAGTATATACAACCCGGTGGGTTAGTTTTTTTTTTGCCATTTTACTTAATGTACCTAATAGAATTAATATGTATCAACAGCTGGTGCATCTTTAATAAAAATTCTACATTGACAGTTAAAACATGCTAACCTTTGACGAATGAAATAACGTCAGTACCATTAAATCAACCAATAATAAATTATCGCGATAACCGTTTACAATGGTAATACTTTACAAGTCGAGATAATAAGCCAGTTTTCACAATAATCTAGCTTCTAAGTTTTAGGCCTAAGTAACATTTAATGACATCTAAAACCTTAATTGTCTTAAGTTAAAATATGGTCAGTTTTAGTATTTTAATTCAAAAGCCTAAATTATCTGACTTTTGAATTTGTTCATTCTGAAGTTTAAAGTAGGGCCTAAAATATCAAGGAATATTTTGTAGGTTAATCCACCGAAGACAGGAATCTGTTAATCATAGGTATATATATTTTATTATATACTTTTATGGATTTACTATTTAGCTACAGATACTTGAAGAAGGGCATAGCTCAAAACGTTGTATCGACAAAGGTATGTATTAAAAAATAGCTATATTATAAGATTTAGTGTCTGTGTGTCACGTAACTTCTCCTAAACCAATGGTCACGCCGACTTCTTAATGGTACCAAAAGAATGGTTTCGGTCCGAGGTTTGCGCAAACGTAAAATTTTCACGCCACCGCTTGGGGAACCCGCGGAATTTTCGGGAAACCCCTTTCTCCTAAACTGCTGGACTCATCAACTTATAAATGGTGCCAAACGCATAGTCTCGGCTCTGAGGTTTGCACAGAGGTAAAACTTTTCACCCCAACCCATTAAAGAACCCGAGTATTTCGCGTAAACACTTTTACGAGATTCCCCTAAAGCGGACCCAAAATTTTGGCATTGATTTTCATTAGAGCACGTAAATAAGTATACCTACTAATTACCGTTCGCAATTTGGTTAAATCAATTAAATTTACATTATAGTGGCAATGATCATTAAACTGAAAAAGTGCCAAATAGTAGTTCAAGCATTACATTTGCATTATAGCGGCTCTGTAAATTTGGGCCATAGACCCACGGGTTCGCTAGTGTATCTGTAATTAACACCTTGTTGTCTTCTGAGGTTTGACCGACACACAACATACTCCTTGTTTTACTCTTTCAACTCCACCTAATGCATCATCTGATGGGCCATACCCTCTACTGGGGACTACAGTTTCGTCTATTCCAGGCTCATCAGTACAGCTTGGATGAGCAAACCAACGAAATACAGTTAGGCCAGTTATAGTGCTAAAGTGTTTATAATATTTAAGGGATTTTGAGTCCTCTTTAATTCACCATACTTCTATGCCACAGTATTTTCCTTTAATCCTTTCTTTGGTGAAAAAAAATTGATCATTAACACATATATATAATCATTAAACAGTTGGTCCGCTGTATAATATCAGATAATGAATTAGGTGCAATTTCATAACATTATTCACATGCCTATTTTAATTTAAATCGCTGTATGGTGAATCAAAAAGGAGTCAAAATCCCATAAATATAATATACATACTTCACCATTATAAGAAACCTAACCATGTTTCTTTGGTTTCCCGAGTCAAGCTGTGCTGATGAGCCTTGAATAGGCGAAACTGCAGTCCACAGCAGAGGATACGGACAATCAGATAGTGCATTAGGCTTTTACGCCACCAATTATTCTTCTTGGTGGAAAAGAAATCTTTATTACATATACATGTCAGGTGTGTTATTTCCCTTCACTGTAGTTTATGATTAACGTAGACTCTAGACTGTCTTTTTGGTTTCTAGAATCCAACCTGGATGAAGATGATTACGAAGATCCTGAAAGATGCAAGATGACAAAAGACGGAGGCTCACAGACGACCGGGAGATTCAGAGCTCAGTATTATGACCACAACTTGAGGCCCGCCCCCAACACTTATTCCCCTACCCCTTCTACCTATCCAGCATCCACAGAATCCACCTACGGAACGCACAGCGCCCCTACATCCAGTTATAGCGGGATCTATGGATCTCGGTTTGGAGGTGGTTTTAGAGCTGTACCAACCTGTATGGAATATGATCCTGGAACTACTAAATTCTAGTATATACGTTTTTCAATCACTTCTTTCGCATAGTTATGGTATTCCTGCAAGTTCAAGTCAAGCAAATGCTTGTGTTTGGCCGGTTGTGCAACTGATCCATCAATTTTTCAAGTGCTCCAAGAACAGATGTATCTGAACAGTGCGTTTTAGTTATGTTTGCATTTTCTTCAATAACAGATGTTCTATATATATCCATATTGTAACTTCAATAACAGATGTTCTATATATATCCATATTGTAACTTCAATAACAGATGGTATATATATATATCCATATTGTAACTTCAATAACAGATGGTATATATATATATCCATATTGTAACTTCAA